ACGAATAGGACAAACTCAGATACAAGTAAAAATATTTACAGTAAAATATATTCATTATTAAGAGAGTTTCTTTAAAATTACTTTTCGTATAACACAGAAGAAAAAGAACAAAAATATAGTTAAACAGAAGGAAAAGTATAGTTATGCACAAATTAAAAATGCGAAAGGAAAAAATTTAATTAAAATATGTGGTATATGATAAAGGATATGACTTTTATATTATATTGTGAACTAAAAATTATATGCAACAATAAACTGAATTGGAAAGGGAATATCGAAATACATTATCTTTGATTTGATTAATAACACAGATTTTTTTCTCTTTTTTGCGTGTTGAAATTCATTGGATGCGTTTGAAACTGAAGGCTATGGGCACTTGAAACCCGAACAAAAGTAACATTAATTTAACCTTCAATACGTTCTTACTATACATTTTAATGCCATTTAAAGCTGACAATCAGGTATCACATAAAGACTCATAGGGAAAAAATTAAGAAGAGACATCTAGAATGTTAAAGGTGATAAAATCTGTTGAAATAACGCATAATAATAATAATAATAAAATAAAATAATGTACTGATTTAATTCCAATGAGATTTTTGAAGGATGCCCGAAAGTCCAAAGTATCCCGAAAGTTATGATGCCATCATTGACTTACAAAATGCAAAATTGTAAGATTTCGGCGTTAAGATGGAAAATAACCGCAAATATTTATTTTTATTTCAAAAGTTAACAATTTTTTTTTTTTTTTTTTTGAGGGGAGAAAAAACAAACTAAAGTAATTTTGTAAGAAATAGTTTAAATTATGTACACTAGATGGTACCACATGCAATAAAATATTTTTCTCCAGAGGAAGAATCTGCTGCTGGAGAAAGAAGCAATGCAATAAAAACGAGTAAATTTTTGAAAAAAGGAAAATTGCTCGTGCCGCCATCTAGGAACGGACATCTAGGACTGAACTAATCAATATGCTTTTAAAATCGTCTAGATATCATCAAAGAAATCACAGGTGTTAATCTCGCCTTTAGGAATTTCTTTAGGATTGCCTTTTATTTTCGTATCATTAACTTGATTTTGTTCTGTGATATAACATTTAGCTTCAAAATTATAAAAAGAGAAATTTTTCAAATGTACTTTTACGTGCAATGTCATTCGTGTCATCATCAGCCATGAAAAAGTTCGCATTTCCGAAAGCCCTTTCTTCCTTGAAAGAAAGTAATTTATGATATTGGAGAATTTTGGGCTAAATCGATGAATTAAATGCTCTTTTTGCAATGCATTTTAGGCTATTGACAATTAACACTTTTCAGTTTATCCTGTTTCACAAGCAGAGACATGCCTAGAAATTAATTTTGGGGAATGACCTTTTAATGATTGAATTTAATTTTTGTGACCGTCTAAATGCCAAAATTACGGTTGCGAAATTTTTCTTATTTATAATTTTGCCATTCAAAAGTTGAATTTCATCTAAAAATCATATATCTTCAATTATAACAGGTTATTTAAGTACAGTACATGTATTCACTCAATTTGATTTGTATTATTACGTCATTAATGGTAAGTTAAATAAAATAAAAATCAGTTGTACAAAATCACTAACATTATTATTATTATTTTTTTTACTTTACAAAAAATTATACATTAAAATGTTCGTTCTGCGTTCCCCCCTGCCCCCTTTTTTTTTTAGAATTTTTTTTCTTTACGGGTACACTTTTATATACGTAACAAAGGTAATCCATTTAAACGCGTTTCATAAATTATGTAAACAATTTTTTAAAATCTTTTTAACCTAAAAAAACTATTTTTCCGTAGTACGCGTGGTAACTGGTAATGTTATTAAGATTTTCAAAAGTTTGTAAATATTAAGAGAAACATCTCCTTATGATAGGCCTCCAAATTTTGTTATTAAAATATTAAAAGAATTTCAATATCTCTTTACTTTTAATAACACATTTTTTAAACAGCAAGATCACATCCTACAAGAAATACTAGTTAAATATTGATGTTCAGAAAGAGGATTCATTTAAAACATATTAAAACTATATGTTTGCTCTCTATATGCCAATTGTGGAAGAGAAATTTTAACTTCTGCATTTATTTACTTCGGAATTATGGCTGACTTTGAATAAACTGCATTGAAAATTTTCTCTCGATTTTCAAGAATTTCGTGCTTTCTTAAAATATAATCACGTAATTCAACTGCTGCAGTGAGATCGACTAAAAAGTAATACTTAACGGCAAAGTATATGACAATATTTTTTGCAACTGAAAATAATGCAGTCACAAAAACAGAACATTTCAATGAATTCAAGAGCATATAAACTTCGGAAAAATGTTGCTTATCATGGTAGTTCTCCATTATTTCTAGTGCATGAACGAAATTTTATATTCAAATGGTATTTTAATAGAAAAGCTTAGATTTTAATTAATTTACCTGATATGAAGTAAATACATCTAAAAACTTTTGTAAATATTCAGTAATAAGGTCAAGAGAAAATGTAAAAGACAATAAAATACTTTAAAAATCAAATTTCATAAATAATGTAGTGCAGTTTGGAAATGAATCAGAAATACAGCAAAGCAAAAGTATAGATTTTCTTCAATATAAGTTTCCTTTGTTCCTTTTGAAGTTTCCTTTGTTCCGAATGTTTCCTTTTGAATAGTCGTATATGCTTAGTTTTAGAGCTTATATTAAGGATCTTCAAATCTTGTTTATATAGCTTCAAATCCTGTTTATGGAGACATTAATTTTTTTTCTTCCGAGCAGGAACGCAAAAGACAGCTAAGACCTCCCATGGATCTTCCAGTTTCCAGCTGTATGGGTTACCACTTACATCCCGAGAACACGTAAGGAGAAATGCCTTAATTCCTCCTATTCTTACCACTTAAAGAGTGTGTGGGGAGAGGCACCGGATCCAGTTGGCAAAATTTAGTTTGTGATGAAGCATTGCCGAAACATTCTATTTACGACTCCAAAGTAGAAACATTATGTTTTTCTCGTAGACGAAAACAGGAAAATTCAGGTTATTTTTAATTGCATCTTTCTTGATATGTAATCAATCTTGTTGCTTAAATGGCGTTTCCTAATTTTTATCTAAAATTATTTGTGATAAGATGAAAAAAAAAAAAAAAAAAAAAAAAAAACTATTCAAAACATCCTTCTATCTTTTCCAAAAAATAAAATAAATTATACAATTATTCTAAGCTTCCCCCTCGCGCCTATACACACGTGGAGGGAAAGCAATTTAAAATTTTTGTTACGTTTGACTTTGTCATTTACTACTAACTTCAAAGAGGGTCATGCGCATGCGTTAAAGCCAATAAACATCTTTGCATTCAATAATTTTTGCTTAAGCATATTAACCCCATTGAGGTAACTGCAGTTATATAAATCGTCTAAATTTATGCCAAAAGTTCTACAACTAATCTCTCATTTAAGATGAGTTCTTATTATTTATAAATTACAACAGCCTAACATTGGAATTTTTAGATTATTAAATAATAAATCGAAAAACCATGCCTAACACCTGCCTAAGCCCACAAGATCCACTCCCTACGTCTTAGGAGGATACAAATCTTCTTGTAATTCGGCATGACTCAGCTTTTGTCTGATAAAAAATGCGTGGAACGTGATCTGTTTCGGCCTTAGAAAAATCTTGTGCCAAGGTTTCTATGCTAATAAAGGGCCTGATTGACAATAATTGACATTTGTTCTGAATGACATTAAATAATGCCTAAGATGTCTTGCGCATTACTCTGACGCTGGTTACAATGAGATACAAAACCTTACCTCCAAAAATCTTTTAATATCCATCTTTCTTATATTTATAGCGCCAAAAAGCTATTATGTATATACGCTAAACTATTATGAATCAGAAAAGCTGATCTTAGATCGAATGATTAAAGTTTGAAAAACAAAAGCAAAGAGCACCAACTTCAACTAAATTTTCTGTGCACAGAAAGTGATAGAATATGCAAGGGTGAAAAACGTGAGTACAAATATAGGAAGGGAATGAATGATTTGCATGGCACATATGATCCTCTTTTTTTTAAAAAAAAATCTTCAATTCCGTTTTTTGAACAGATTAAATGAATTACTCTATTTTACAAGGTTTGTTTTTTAAAGTTTTTAAGACTATGCACTTTTCCTAACTTAAAACACCATAAGGACTTGAATTAGGAATCAGGCCGCAACATTTTTCTTTCCCTTGTGATCTGAGATTTTTAACCCTTTGCACTCGTGGCGTTTTTCGCGCGGCCCACGAGCAGCCTGAGACGTTTCGTAGCCTTTTTGACGCATTTCTTACTAGTAACTTAAAATCATCTGACATCCACACCTTCCTTTTTTATGAACTATTCGGCAATGTCAAATTTTGGCATTGCTTTCAATTAATCCGTATTCAAACTTAGAGATTACTGCAATCATTTTCAAATACAACACAGGGCTCATGGATAGAGATAATTGAGTTGTCTTTCTGTCTTTTCCTTGTAAGCCAAATATCTATTTAATGCGCGAAACGTGATAGAATGTCCATTTTTTTTTTCGTCTAACAATTTTATTTCAAGTAAAAATTATACAGTTAAAAATAAATGTTTTTATTGTTGTACAAAATATACAAAACATCTTTTTTTTAATAAAATTAAACTTGAAAATTGTTTTTTATTTGCTCAACGATTTTTATTCACGTAATGTAAAGCAAAGAAACAAACTCCTTTTCCAAGTAGGCTTTAAAACTGAATATATAATGTTATTTATATTTTTACTGTGTTAATCCCATCAAATTTAGCTGTTACTGTACTTTATTTAAAACTGTATTCTGTTTGTCGTGGAGCCAGTTTGAATTGATTTCTTGATAAATGATTGGTTGCGTACAGTTTGTTATTACTTGGGCTGTTGCCTAACATTTAAATTACCTTTAACGCAATGAACTCTAGGAAATTAATTCAATGAACTTTTTAAACGAATAGTGTAAATAATAAAAAATAGCTGTAAAACTCAATAAAGGTTTAAAAGCTTGAAATTTATTTTAACAAAATATTTTAAATATTATTTTACAAATTCTTTATAAAATCAACCTACAAGAGTACAATGCTTATTTTGAGTATCATTTGTAAACCAGCTTTTTAATTAATTTTTTTTTATATACAATTCAATGATAAAAATTGCTTATGTGTTTAATAATGTTCTTAAGATTTCTGCATGAAATGATGGAATTTCTAAATGATCTAAGGGCATTAAAAACAGTAAACGTTGTTTTCTTTTTTAAAACTTTATATTTAGTCGAGCGATAAACAGCACGAATTTCATTCTGTTTTCTTAAGTTAAATCTTAAAAGCTAAGAAATTAAGCTCTTCTTAAACGCTATTAAGAAATGCTGTCTACGAGCTTCAGGACAACTTGGGCAGCTGGTACTTATTCAACAGATCTGCTACTGCTTTTGCAACTCCATCTTCCATCGCATTTATGATCTTAGATCTGGATTTCTTCGCTACACCGTTGGCTATAAGTTTCAGCAACCAATTCAGGACAACGCTCATTCCTGTAATTTTCTTAATCTTATAGTTACCAAGATGAACTACTCTGAATGATTCCAACTTTCCTCGTCCGTCTTTGCCAGTTATGATCATTTTCACTGCTAAGTCATCTACAGCTACTGTAGCATGCCCTGAAATATTAAAATTAGCCTTAGGTATAAGTTAATTTAAAACGAATTAAAGGAACGATTAATTCTCACATAGTTTCATACATAGGTAGAGATATGTAGGAGGATTTCATGCATAGGATATTATATATATATATATATATATATATTTTATATCTTTCATATTATATTTATATATTCTTTCATATTTTATATCTAGTGTATATATATATATATATACACTAGATATAAAATATGAAAGAAAGCTGTTAACTTTAATTTAGCAATAGTCCTTTTAATTCCTCATTTTAATTTGGCTACGTCCCCTTCCTGGAATCTACGCTATTTGAAAAGTAATCCGCATTAGGCCGTCTTATTAATCTTGCAATGCGGTAAGCTCTGGTCCAGTCGCAGTCCAAAATGCTGAATGTCCCTCTTGCTGAAATGCATATTAACGTTTGATTTAGGCTTAATTACGACAATTTTGGTGTTGTGTAAGCTAGTGATAACTAGATTCTTGTTATTTGAATTTCAGTAATGAACTCGTATTTGTATGACGTATATTTATCAGCTCTGATACTTTATCCTCAATTAAGTGGTTTTTGTGAAATTTACTAAAATTTATCGTGCCTGCTTTCGATATGATGCTGCAATGCGCAGAATTTCACATTGCCAGGATTGAGGAGCTCTGTCGCAAGGAGGAATCTTAGACGAGAAAGATAACCTGAAAGATGAAGAATTGAAAGGCAAGAAGGGCCCCGCTCCACTTTGGTAGATTTTGTGCTCATGGGTCTTTTTTGATAAAAAAAAAGCCATTCTTTGCATTGGAGTAAAAATCCATTGAGTAGCCGCAAAAAACCATTTCTACTAGCACTTTTAATGCGGACAAACGTTTAGAACATAAGGTAAAAAATGAATTTTTGAAATTTTTCTTTTAATTTTCCGAAAATTTAAAAATGTGGATCTGGGCCCTTCAAATCTTAACCGTGAGAGAGTTCTTCCAGCTGAAAAAGACCTAAAAAATCAAGCTACCGCTCGACAAGATGTTCCCGACAAATCTGAATCCATTCATCAGCTTGATATGGAATGGAACACTGTGCGGAAAAAGAGACCTTTCAGCCCACTTTCTATTAAGTCTACAGCTCTTGGACTTTCAGCAAATGCATTTGCTTCCCTGGATGAAGACTTCGATGATCGAGAAAAACCAATGATGAAAGAAGGCCAAGTTCCGAAAATGGTTCAGTCAGCTCTCCTGCTAAATTGGAGGAAAAACCCCATCGGATGTTCCTGCCATGACGCCACGTGTCCCAAACCTCACAGCCGTTGAAACCACGGCGGGTCAAATGTCGTTCAATCCGATTGCTTCAACCAGCGCCATCCACAAAGTTTCTCAGGGCTTGAATTCGAACGATTTTCAGTATCCAAAACGAAGATCTAAGCTTCCTTCTACAATGATTAAAAATGCATCGATCACTTGGAAGCAATTTACTGATATATTAGAGGATTTTAAATTTACAAACCAAGATCAAAGCGGATCGGAAATTTGTGGTGAAAGCTATCGTGCCAGCCATCCATCGCAAAATCACAGCTTTCCTTGACAGTAAGGAGACACCTTATCCCTCGCACATGCTTCCCGAAGACAGACATATTAAAATTGTAATGAAAAGAAACCTTCCATTATCTACAAAGATTGACGACATTGCTGACAAACTAGTTGAACTAGGATACCCCGTGATAAAAATATATTGACTGACCAGAAGAAGAGGGCCGGATATCACCAAACTCAGTCTTTTCCTGATTACTCTGCAGAAGACTGAGCAAGCAAGGACAATTTATAATTTACAGTACCTAACGGATTTGAGGATTTGGAACGGATCCTCAAATCCGTTAGGTACTGTAAATTATAAATAAATCTCCGGCCTCTGTAGGATTAGGCCGGAGATAAACCATTTAGTGTTTTCGCTGTCAATCTTTTCACGCCTAGTTTGCCTGTTGATACCCACCACGTTGCGGGAAATATGGGCAGGAACACGAAACGCCCCTACTTTTGGCAATTTTCAAGGCCCTAAAACTGCCAATTACCGTGGGAGTAAATTCTTCCCTAAGTATTTAGGGCGCACCCACCCAACTGCCCGGACTTACGCTAACAATGTCATCACCAGCAAAACATGGATCCGTACCACCGGCAGGACGTGCTATGTGATCAAAATCTTTGAGGTAAAGGAACTTTCAAGAGCTTTGATTTTCCTCCTTTCTATGCTCAAAGATTTGGACATTCGGAGTCTAGCCCAAAACCTAGAACAAAATTATGAAAAATCTAATGCATCAGCCAGCCTAAACCAACATCATGAATAAAACTCCACATGCAAATCTATCATCCACGATCATGCTAAGGAATGCATATAACCTGTATACAAAATTAGTAAAGTGCCATAATTTTATGGTCCATAAGGCACATAGATATCGCAATCATCTCTGAAACCCATGTTAAGAAATCCATCTCTGAAATCCATGTTTCTAAAACTCATAACCATAACAACATAAGCACAACCTGTGGCTTGAAAATTACTGTACATACAGATGTGATAGACTAAGGCATCGTGGAGGAGGAATTGTTACATATAATTATATATATATATATATAAAATAGTAGGTAGAAACATTGCAGCGATCTTGCTAAAGAGTTACCAGGAGCTGTAGCTCTACGAAATAGTTCAACGCTGTATTACTAAAATATGAACCAAGAAGAATTTTTTAAAAAAAACTTATCTGGAAAAACTGGAAAAAAACTGTAAACACGCGAAAAAAACCGTTAAAATTAATGTTGGAAGACATGCGAATGCACGAAAAAATATCTGACCGTTGTGATATGTTAAAAGTTAATACACATAAAAAATAGATTGACGGAAAAAATATATGAAACGTTAATACACATAAAATATAGATTGATGGAAAAAAATATACTAAAACATAAAATGCAAAAATTATAATGAAAACACAAATTGCTAAAATACAAAAATACAATAATTACAAAGCGGAAAATGGTAAATTAACCCACTCGTACCCTCTGCCAGGCTTTTCAAGCGAAAAATGACTGATTGTACGAACTAGGCTAAATACCATTACACGTTTCGCCGAAACAGACCATTGAAGCTCTTGTTTGATGCGCAAAAAATTTTTTTATAAAACATGAATAGTCCCGAATAAATCTTTTTTGGAGCTTCACTGCTCTGTTCCTTTTTCCCGACGCGTCCGCTGAAAAACACATTAGGGTGTTAAGAATGTAATTGCAACTCCGAGCAATGTAAAATTAAAATCAAAATAAAATAAATAGCGGTCTGCTATTAGTCAAAAAATTACAACAACGTATATATATATATATATATATATATATGTAAATGTTATACTGCCAAACGTTCTTTTAACTCGTGCTTACTCAGTACAGATAATACGAAAGTGCACGAAATAGTGAAAGTGTGTGTGTGAATCCTCCAAAGTATGAATAATTTTTATGGACTTTATAAACTGTCGAATAATGTGTGATAATGTGTTATCCGACGCCATTCTCAGCTCCGCTAGTACCCCCACTTACCTCTGTACCACATGTACCCACTTACGTCGGCGGGGACTTTAACGGAAAACACGTGAATTGGGGTCCAAAACACGAACAAAAATAGCGGTATTATTCACATCTTCACTCTAAATAATCCTATTTTTCTCAACGTTTCAAACACAACTTATGGGCCAAATATCGTCTACTGTAGCCATAACAGCCTGGATATTAAGTATCGTCAACATTCCAATGGCCATAGACGTGACAGATCATCCGATCATGCACCAGTCCAGTAATCACTCAGTTGGGTACCACCTAGCCGAAAAATTAAAAAAGGTCACTGATTAGGATCTATTCTGGAATTTAGCCTACACCACTCTATTAAAAATTAACAGCCTGAGAACAACGAGTGACATCGATAGTGAAATCAACAGCTTAACTAACAATGTTCAAGATTTCCTGAAGCACTCCACGGGAATTATCAAGATTAATAATAGTCATGGAAAAATTCCCGCTCGCATAAGAAATCTTATCCAGCAAGGAAATACTTTAATTGGATTTGGGATCTTGACACGATGTCTAAAATAACAGACTCAACAGAAAAATTAAAACCCTCATTAGCCAGAATAAATAAAAAAATCTAGCAACATAAAATGGATAACCTCAGTCTTGAAGACGATTTTTTCTGGAACTACATTAACAAACTAAAACGAACAGATAGTATAGACAGCGAATCAGAGAAGTCAATAACATGGCCTGTGCTAACCAGGAGGGAACTAATGTTTTCGCCGAATACCTTAAAATGTAGCTGCCTAACGAATTCTCGAGAAACAAGGAAGCTAAGAGCTTCGACCCGGTGGATAAAATGCCTCATCACTCTTCTTACGTTTATGGAACTACTCTTGAGAGTGGAAATAAGGACTCATCACTTTCGTCACTCCCCGCTCTAGGACTATATGAGGTTACAGAAAAGAGCTACCTAAGCTAACTGATGTCTGTACAATAACTGAATATCCGGATATGCGTTTAACCTGACCATACTCTGAGTTCACTTGAATATTGAAACTTTTCGGTGTTGAGACTTGGGAAAAAAAGACCTCACGTGTTACTCAAGGCTGTGATACGGCATGTTTCATTGCAACATTTTTAATAACTAAAACACTCTCTTAAAAACAAATTTACCTTTAATCCAAAAAAAGAGAGCCTTTGCTCGGTATTTCACATCAACTGTTACATCTCTGACAGCAACTTGAACTGTAACTGTGACAATTTCATCATCATAAGCTAGCGTACAGTCTCCATGTCTGTATAAACTGCCGAGACCTCTTACTTTTCCATTTGAAATCTCAAAATTTTTATCTTTAACTTCTGGTATATCAAGAGGGTCTAACTTAGATTTAATCCATGGTTCTTCTCTCAGATTTTTCAGGACTTCATCGATGTAATCATTGGCATTGCCTACTGAGTCGTCTAAAAGAGAGAAATCACATAATAATTAGGAGAAAAATACAGATACTCACACACAAGTGTGTTACTAAAAGTGTGTTGCTTTTGATATACTACTGTAAACTCCAAATCTTAGCATTCAATTTTGGTTAGGGTTAATATTGTGATAAATAAGTATTTTGGGTAATTGCTTATATTCAGTAGTGTTTATAAAGGAGTATTTTTTTATTAACGTTCTTTGCTTAAAATCGTAACGCACCAGCTGCAGGAAATATAAATAAAGGGGGTCTTATTAATGTGCAAACTGCACGAGAGCAATGAACAATAACCATATTTTCCATTTCCCCACCTTAATAAGCGGAGATTAAAACCAACAAAGAAATTGTTAAAAATCCCTTGCACTTCACGACTTTGTTTTAGCTTCCCTTCTTTTCTAAGAACTTAAATTCCAAGCAGAATATGTTTTCTACAAAAATCCATTCAAATTTACCAGGTTTACCATGTAAATAGTTCTTATTTAATTTTTAAATATCAGTTTATTAAATTTAAAATTTTGGTTTGTTAAACAGTTCGGAATTAACAATTGCAATAAATGTCTTATTAAGCTATATTTGCCTTTCCAGTTTTTAATTATTGAAGCTATTTTAAATTTATTTAACTTTCTTACAGAGTTTGTAATTTGATATTAGGAACGTTTAAATGTTTATTTGTTTTTACAATTACTTCCCTTATAAATTATTTTCTTCCTTTTCTCAGCGTTCTTTCGTGGTGTAACTGAAGCACATCCGACACGTAATCGAGAGGTCCAGTGTTTGAATCCCGGCGAGGGCACTGAAGATTTCTTGTTTCCTGGCATTGAAAAATTCTAAAAGATAGTAAAATGGCTCTCGAATTAAAAGGTGATGGACGGTAATTCGTCGCCATCAGGATTTGACGACTAAGTCACCTTATCCCCAGTCGCTTTTTAAAAGAGAAAGTATATTTATTGGTATTTTCTTCTTCCTTTCCGTATGCCTTCGTGTTGTAACTGAATAGCCTGTCCGACGCGCAGAGGGCATTGCAATTTTTTCACGTCTCTTGCACGATATGCGTCTTATGCGATATGCGTCTTATGCGTCCTACCAGATAATTTGAAACACATTTCGAGATATTTAATTTACTGGTCATCCATTTCTTTATAAACTCAAACCATACATTTGATTTATTGCATATATTAGAATTTATTTCGCTTTTGTTAGAATTTGTATGTTGTTGTATTGTATTCGTGCAATTTATTTTTCAATGATAATTTTTAGAAAATTTTGCATCAAAACTCTAGTGAGCAGAAGATGATTTTTATGTTTAGGCACTGGTTAATCTTTAGTACGCAGCTTGTCTTCTGGTCTTTCAGGCTTCAATTAAATTATTTGTATAGAGAGATGACCGCTAAATCATCTGATAATATTGCTAACTGTTATAATAAAAATTCACGTGATTTAGATTATACCTCAATTTTAATTTTTATAAAAATTTTCAACAATATCAGTATTAATAGAATATACTCCTAATGCTATTTAGATTAAAACTGTTTGACTTATATTTCCTTTTTCATTGATATATTAATGTTATAATTATAATGTTTCATAACAGTATACAGGTTTAACTGATTTGTCAAATTTGAAACTGATTTGTCAGTTTAACTGATTTGTAATATGCAAATCTTATTATTCAGCATACTTTTGTGTTTACTAATACCATATGATCTATTTTCTTTAATATATTGCTCAACATATGGCATTACATTTCATTAATTTAAAGACTTCCGTCCATCTCTGACCAAGTGACATTGGCAGTTCGAGCCATCTCAAATCCCGATAAACGGGCTGGCTTCATGAGAGTTTTCGAGGTTTTCTTCATGCGAATATTAGCCAATTTCCCTTAGAAATTCCTCCACGAAGGCAACATCTTTGGTGTGCTTTGCCATACCATTAGCATTTTGCCCTACTATCGTAGAATGTTATATATGCAGTATACGAGGTGTGTTCAAAAGAAACCGAACTTTTTCCATAACATTTTTATTGCTTATTACACAACATTTAAAATACTCTCCCCATCAAAGTAGTCCACTCTAATGGCAATACACGGTTCCCATCGTTTCTTACATATCTAGAAAGCCTCCTGAAATGCACTTTCTTGGATAGCTCTCAGGTCTCTTGTTGCATTGTCCTAATCTCCTCTATAGTTTGGAAACAACATCTTCTCATCGTGGTTTCCAGTTTTGGGAAACAGGAAAAAGTCTGCTGAGGTTAGGTCAGGAGAAAACGGTAGATGGGGCACAACTGGAGTGTGATGTTTTGCTAGATTGGCTGTGGGCAAAGAGCGACGCGTGAGCCAGCGCATTGTCATGCATCAACATCTAAATCTCGTTTTATCCTAATTCAGGCCTCTTCCTGCGCACAGCATCCCTTAGACGCGCTAGAATTTCCTGGTACCTTTCCTTTTAGTTCCCGAGGGGCTCATGCAATCCTCCCCATATGCTTGGCTAAGCAAATGGAATGACTTTGCAAAAGTTTTGCGAAGTTTGTTGCAAAATTTCACACATACACACCATTGTTCTGCAAGCTCTTGTCACTTAAGTCCTAATCATATTATGTTTCGGCTACGGGGGACTGGACGTCGAAAGGGACGATTCTCAGAACCCGCACATTTCCAGGAAACCTACGTAGCTAGGTTACCATTTTCACTTACTACAAATACTTGAACGCCAAACAGTAATCGATTATCGCTCAGATTGGGATCCCGTGATCCTTCAGAAGCAGAACTTCCGTCTGATTGGTTTATCTCTACACGGGATAGATGTTCAGCCGAGACATTTTTGGTGAGGTTTGAAAAAATCTCGCGTAGCCGCAACATTGTTTCCGTAGCTAGGTGGAACTTCGCTTCCAGCGGGGCTCCATTTTCTAGGAATCCTCCCGTTTAAACCAGTGATACCAGAATCTCGTTTCTCAGAAAAGTACCGTTTAGCAGGGAATGTTGTTAGAAGTGATAACCTCTTTAGGCACAAATCCGACGAACATCTTGTGCATGTGCTCACTTCAACAGCTGTAGCTCGGCATCTGAAGGTCGGAGGGAAATGCGCCAAATGGCGATTTGTTGTTTAAATCTGCCGCCACGTGCGTTTAATAGCGTCAGCACATTTTCTTTTTCATTTGGCATTCTATTTCAAAAGTTCGATTTTGTTTAATACACCTTCTATAATATGTTACTAATGCTATTTACTATTTTTTTTTCTTCGCTAGTTTCTCGGTTTAGCACTGATATTCCAATTATTAGTCTGATCATTTATTGCGTCACTTCTACTTTCTTTACTTATTCTTATGTTTGATAATTTTGTTTCTCCTTTTTCTCTTTTCCTATATTACGCCCTTAGGCTCTTATTTAGCTTTGAAAAGTAGAATTTAGTAGCAACCGCTTAACTTTATGAAAAGGGGAAGCTTAGATTTCTTTTCCAAATGGTGTGAAGATAACTGTGGTGTTTGAGGGGAAGGGAGGAAAACCTTTTTTGAGCAGTTTGCTTTAAGAGGTCATAAAGTTCATCGTGGAGATGAATCATTTTTTACCCCTGTCTCGGGTAGTCGGGTTATACCGCTTAAAATATAAATGAATTGTTAGTTCCTTATCTAAAATTACGGCGTTTTCAGATGACATGGGAAAATGTTTCCTCTTTAAATGTCTTCTTTTAAAAAAAGGCTCCATAGGGTAATTTAGCTGTCCTAGCATTCTGATTTCTTTTGTGCGTGAAACTAATTGGAAAAAATATTAATTATTCTTAATTCTTAGTTAAAATAAACTATTTATTGGTTATTACAAAAGGCTCGTGAACAACAGCGACAGGAAACCTTAAATATTGGTAATTTTAGACTGGTAGTCGGTTCTTGAAGGAAATGAATGATTTCATTCAAGATTTTGTGATTTCCATCATAACGCGTTACCAGTCTGTCGTAAAAAATTAAAGTGCCATAATTATTTCCTTGGAAGTAACATAACGTATTCTCAGTTCCTCGAAAAAAATTGTCTTGTGTAGATGGTAGTCTGGAGTTCTTTCTTACAATTATTAATTATTAATACTACATGAAGAGAAGCAGCAACAAGGACAAACATGAGATCCATTGTTAAACAACTGACTTAATTCTCTTGCTCAATGTTACAGTGGATCATATATAACTGAACGCAAGAAACTAAATTTCCATGTGTTACCAGAACCCTCTCTAAGTAAACCCTGAGGATAGGAGTGCCGATTTTGCAACAGAAGAATGGCTGCATTGCGGCTCTCTGGCATTCTTATCTTTTCCAGTACTCGTTTATTCTCTCATCTCTCGTTTATTTCATATGACCCTTTGAATACTGCCTATTTGCGTTCTCCCGCTTTTCCTCCCCCCCTCAGATGGTATCAAATTCAGTATTAAGAGGGATTTGAAGGCTTAGCATCGTTTCGTCTTTCCCGATTCCTCCTCAGTTCAAAATAGTGCCCATTTGTACTTTACCCCATCGATTCTCACTTCATTCAGTTTCATCCGCTCCTCAAAAAGTCACTTTCTGATACCATAAACACTTGCTTTCATTGATTAAAACAGTTTAGACAAGGTGGCCCATACTGCTTTGACTTGGCTTAATTTTCGACTCTAGCATTTATTAAATATTTCCTTAACAATTTTCCTATTACGCAACTTATTCTAAGCAGGATAATGAATTTCAACCATGTTCAAAATACGTACATCTGAATCTATCTGATTTTGTCATATAATGCCCATTTGTTTAGTTTCATGTACATTTAAACCAATAGAATTACAATTACTGTACTTTCTCATAGAACATATATACACTGACGGAAAAATAAATACAGGTGCCGGATGTCAGTCTGTGGGATGGAATTCCATGCCTGTTGCACTTGGTCGGTCAATACAGGGACGGTTAAGTCTGGTTGTGGATGATGTTGGAATTGTCGTCCAATGATGTCCGATACGGGCTCCACTGGAGAACGATCTGGGGATCTAGCAGGCCAAGGGAAAATATTGACACTTTATGGAGCATGTTGGAATACAAGAGAGGTAAGAGGTCTAGCGTATCCTGTTGAAAAACGCCCCTTTGAATGCTGTTCATGAATGGCAGCAGAACAGGTTGAATCACCAGATTGATGTACAAATTTTCAGTCAGGGTGTGTGGAGTAACCACGAGAGTGCTCCTGCTGTCATAGGAATTTACTTTTCGATGAACAATATGTCTTCTGTGCAAAGTTTCAGCTGCTGGCTCATTTATGCATCCATATGTTTCGTATTACAGCGTGTAACTTAAAATTACATTTCATTGGCTTCTAAAACTTATGAAGACGAGCAGTAAAGTACAAAGATTCCTTTTGAAGTTATCTTATTATTAATCGGGGATTTCTCTAACACTTTCCTTTATTTGTAAAGAAGTCAGTTAAGAAAAATTATAGTAAAATCGTAAGTGCGCAGTATAAAAAATAAAAAGGAAAATGTGAAAGTCACTATGCTCAATGATGTTTTGCATTCGTAATGCAAAAGATTTTAGTGATGTCGAGTCTGAGAAATGAAGAAGCTAAGAAGAATTCTGCTAAATGCTTGCAAAAGCTAAGCATTAAATTGGAGGGGGGGGGCAAATCCAGGATTTGATCCTATGGCGATGTGTAAGCTATCATTGCGTTCTCTAAGTCCTAATATCTACTTGAATGTTCATTGACAGATTAATCTCGCACAATTAAGCGGTACGAAAACATAAAATGTAAATATTACAACTTTATGGATTAAACGATATGACTAAATTTAAAAAGGGAAAAGATTTTCAAGCATTTGGGGGTTGTAACTCTAAACAATGTACAAAATAAAACAAAAAGATTAAAGTCACAAGGTAATTCAACAAACTCTTAGTCAATGTGATATAAGAATATCAATAAAACAGTATTGTTCATATCACTTTCAACATATTTAACAGATTAATTTTTATATACTTTTACTTTATGCTTACCATCAGCATAAGCAGGTTTGCAAAACAGGCTGATAATTACTAGAAGAAGGTATCTAGTTGCAATTCGCTTACGCCTTAAGTCTGAGGGGAAGGTTTCTCGTTTATAATGCATGCTACTCTGAAATGATAAAAGTAAATTGAATGAATCTTCTGTACTTACCTCTTAAATAGTTAAGTAAAAATGAAATCAGATGTAATCAAAATGAGATCTGCAATATTAATGGGAATGGGAATACTATAATTTGTACAGAAACGTAAGTATTTATCTACCTAATCATAAGAAACAAGAAATGAAAATTTAAACAATATTTATATTAAATGTAAAATAACAGTTAATGATAAGTCTTTTGAAGAATTAGGATACTTATTCGTCGAGATGTGAATACCATTCACTCTGAAGTTACTATACTCTTGCTATGGAGACTTACATTTTACTCTGAATATCTGAAGATACAAAAAGGAAAATTTGTCTAAATTTTAGTATCGTAAATTAACATATGAAAAATTACAGCAGTTAAAATGATTATTATTATTAATTTTCAATATTCGTATTTAATGAAATTATCTCTGATTGGCACTGGTTGAAGAAGATTTTAACGATGCTTTTAGTAAACAAATTGGCAGCATTTATGCGTCGAGAGAAATTTTGATGTTATATGGTGATAGTCTGGTATTTTGAAACAACCAGATGACGGCTACGAATTTTATTATAGCTATGAAACAAGGATTACACTTATCATTGGCTTATGTCTTGGTCACTTAATATGTCACAACACGAATTTACTGAGCTCTGACAAAGAATTTACAGAGAATCGAATCCGAAGATTTCGTACCCCTACCACGTTCTCTCGAGAACTTTCGACTCGTCAATGTTCTATGTGCCCCGTACTGTAAAGCCATTATGCATTTACATTCGTTCCTTCCCCAGAATTCAAGCTCGAGACCATAGTTATGGCAGCCCTCTTCCCTATCAATACGCGGTGGCGTAAATAAGGGTATGCAAGGAATGCCGTCGCATAGGGACCGGAAGGCTTAGGGGCCCTTGAATGTCCTGCTGAACTACATTTATATGTTTAAAAGAAAACGGATGCACTAAATAATAGAATCCGTTTTCTTTTAAGTTTTTAAGAGTCCCATACCTGCCTCATATATATAAGAATTCGTATTCTACATAAAAGGATTTATTGAAATTTATTAATTATGAATTTAAATTTTTGGTCTTTGTGAAAAAAATTAGTTCTAAATTTCTATCTTTATATATATATAAAGATATAAGATAAACGTGATACTTGGTCTTTGCGAAAAAAATTAGTTTAAATTTCTATCTTTATATATATATAAAGATATAAGATAAACGTGATACTTAATAAATAAACTTAACACATAAAAATGAAAAAAATAATGTAAAAAAAAGAAAAAAAAGAAAACAAAAAATCGTTAGCCGTCTTACTGAGAAACCTAAATATTGATATAGTGAACTGGGGAAAACTGAAAAAAATATATAAATGCATACCAAAGCTAAACACTGCATCGGGAGGTTCTAAACATATACTGTTATTCAGATTTGAAAAATTTTGTGTTTTTGGTGTTTAGCTGTATTTGGCGTAATTGCGAAGAAATCGATGCTGAATAATAAAGCTAAAGAGGTAAAAAATATGCGGCTGACAAGAGTGAATGCAACAACAGACTGGTAGACTGCGTGTTCAGAGAGAGCGTAAGAAACCTTAGCAAATCCTTTTGGGTGGCCGTTAAAATCTAAAAAAAACCTTTCAGATCTTTTCTTTCCCTCCTTTTTTTTTTAGTACTGTAAATTTTTGGGAACTTTTGGCATAGGGGCCCAAACGTTCTAGTAGCGTCATTGTCAATTTGCCATTACGACGGCGAAATAATTCAAGTAATTAACTGGCCTGAAGTAAAATCAGATTAATTCTAAAATATTGAAACTAATTATTTTTTAGTCTCGTTAAAGTATTGAAAAAAAAACTGGGTTCAGAATTTTAGAATTAGTCTGATTATTTCTAATATAATAATGAATTGAAAAACACTTGATTAAGTATTTAAATTTAATAGAAGGTATCGGAAGAAAATTTTCGGAAAGAGGAACAAATTTCAAACTGTTTGTAATTAAGGAACAGAGGAATCAGCAAACAAACTAATTCAGATGGAAGTTATATGTTTTTCTCAATTTTAATACTATGTGATTAACATAAAATTTTCCATATGTGAGAGTAAATATATAAGTCGGATATGTCATTTCCTAAAATATCATTATCAGTGCAAAAAAACAAAGGTTTTTTAATATCAGTTGCAGTTGCGATGAAGTATTGTATTGATTATGTGGGTGACTGAGTAATGTTAATACTGATTCGCACTTATATAAGAAGATATGTTAATACTCAATAGTACAGAAAAAAAAAAAAAAAATAAAAAAAAAAAAAAAAAAACAATAAAAAATAAAAAAAAATTCACACGAATGATTTAAAGCATTTTAGGTATGAAAATGCTTTAACTAATGTTTGTCTGTATTACATAGATACAAATTTTCAAATGGTTAAAAATATTTGTAAGATATTTAACACTTTCTATCACATTTTATCAGTCATTTTTTACATTAATCTATTCCTTTGAATAAATATTATATTACATAAAGTGCCTAATGATGTTAATTAACGAATACAGTAAGTAGGAATGTAGTTCTCAACTAAATTAAACTGTAATCTTTTTATTTAACAAGAATATTGATACAAGATACTACATCGGTACAACAGGAAAAAAAGAGCCTTAAAATAATTTGTACTAAAACTACTTCTTTTTCCAAAGTACCATTGAGTAAATATTTAGTATTATAAAACTATCATAATGTTTCTTCTTGGAAAAAAGGCTCAGTGTTCAAATGAACGAAAACGAAACAATTTTTATTGCTCGATAAAAAGAAACTCATTATTGCAAAATAATGTGTTCTGTTTCATTGTCATTACAATAAGCTTCGAAGCTATTTTTGCTCTAAATTAATAGAAACTGGAATCATTTTATGGCCATCTTGGAATATTTTCATGTTATTTTATTCACGTTACGAATGGGACAAAAAGCAGACTTACCTCGTGCTCAGACCTGAAAAAAATAAAATCACTAACAGGCAATCACATCAAGTTTTACATTTGACGTCAACTGAAAGAACATATGTTGCTTCCCGTTTAACAGTAATCACAGATTTGATAACAAGATTGCGTTACATAGACTTATCTGCATTATCAGGAAATTTATGAATATTTGCAACTAATTGTGTCGAGAAAAACAAAAATAAGAGCCGAACAGATTGAATTGATTTAATGTGAGTTATTTTATACAAATTGTAAAAAATTTGCTGCGGGATAGTTTGGATTGAAATGATATAATCTTTACCTGAGCTACAGATAAGTATATTTTCTTAAGCGACATGGGAACGCAGAAATAAGTGGAATCTGTGAATTAACATTTTAGTTGTAAATATCAGGATGTTTTGTGTATGTGGTTACAGGTTTTCAAATAATCACAAATCAGAGGAATTTAACCTAAAGGGATAGGCAATTAAGCAATTTCTTACATGCTTTTCTCAAAAAGATTTTGATATCTCAGTAATTTCGTGTAAATGCTGTTTTATCAAGTTTTCCTTTCCAAAACTTTGTATCTTTCTCCCAACCACCTTATATTAATTCTCACCTAATCAACACAGCACTCTCTATCGAAAGTAACTATTTCGTTCCTAAAAATCTCTAAAAAGAATTCAGTGTCAGAAGCAATCACATTATTCTATTTGGACAACTTGCGCTAGGTATTTTAAATTGATTATAACAATGAATTTAAAGTACTGTGGGATAATCGCACAGTTAACTATAATGTATCAACAAACATTAAACTAAATTAATCGAGAATAAAATAATAAAAATAACAACAATGAATTAGGTTTACTAATTCTTTGCAATAAGTAGTACTTATGTAGATGGTTAATTAGACTGGGCATTTATTCATTCACTGGTCAGAGTTAAGATTGGTAGTTGCATTGTTGAGATGCCTTTCGAATGTAAAAATCGAATTTAGAGCAAGCAAAGCTCGATTTTAAACTCAAAAAATAATTTGGCATCCTCGTAACCTGAAACTATGATACTGAAGTCGGTGAAAGGTGATGAACCAGCAAAATTACCCCCTCCCAGCCATGTCTGATCTTAGTTCTAACATTTGTAGAGTCATTAGATTTATTTTGTAGGATGAGAAGCGAAAAATGTGCAATGTCATCGCCGGGACTCGAACCTGGACCTCTCGAATACGCGCCTAGTGTGCTAGCCATTACACAACGGAGGTATGTAGAAAGGAAGGAGAAAATACCTTTTTACTCCCCCTTTTAAAGGGCGACTGGGGATTAGGGGACCCAATCGCCAAACCCTGGTGGTGAAGAATCATCGTTCATTACCTTTTAGTTCGGGCGCCACTGTAGAGACATTAGAGTTTTTCTGAAACAGAAATTGAAAAAATGTGCAATGTCCTCGCAGTAACTCTAACCTGGACCTCTCGAATACGCGCCGAGTGTGCTAACCATTACACTATGAAGGCATGCAAAAAGGAATGAGAAAAAAAGAGAAATAGACGTATACACTGACGGGTCGGGACAGGACGGTCAATTTGGTGCTTTTGTAATTTACGTTTTTGGTGTTGAAATTGTAAATAAAATGTACAAGTTGAATAGTTACAATTCTGTTTTTCAAGCGGAATGTTGTGCGCTCCTTAAGGCTTTACAATGGATTAAGAGTAATTTGACCTGTGTAAATACTGTACATATTTACTCTGATTGTATGTCTATGCTGCAGTCTCTATCCTGGGCCCGTACAGCCAATGTTCTAATTTTTGAAATTAAGTGCTTGTTAAAATTGTTGAAACAACGCATGGATGTTTATTTACATTGGGTAAAGGCCCATGTTGATTTTACCGGAAATGAAAGAGCCGACGTGCTGGCAAAACAAGCCATTTATGATGAAGGAGTTGAATTCTTTGAGACGTCCGGTTCGAGAAGCTATGCCATTAGAAATATGAAAAATTTTTATTTGAATATCTGGACATTGCGAAAGGAGTCTGAGAGGTGCGCGG